CCTCGTAAGAAACTTTTGACCCTGACGTGTACAAGTGTCACACGGATGCCCCCGCTGACACACCTTCTGTAACGGTGATTCATATCTTATTTCCCAACAGCTTGCCGTCGGTTTAAAAGAGAAAAGAGAAAAAGGTACATCCGCGCCGAAACAGCCACCCGCAGCACTATGGAAAGCAACAGACTTTATCTTATGTGATTCAGACACATTGAATAATGTATTATACGCGCAGGGAATGGACTCAATGACACCTATACTGCCATACATTTCCTATAACATAGTCCCGCATCAAACAATATTACCGTGAAGCTCAGAGCGGTGTTATACATTATATTTACTTCATGTCAGGTGGCTTTTGTGGCTGGCAGGGAGGAGATCTCGGCAGCTTTAAGGCAGTATTTTGCTGCTTTTGTTAGCTCACGTGTTCAAGAAAACCTTATATGCGTGCTAAAAAAAATATTCCAGTGCCATAACCACCACAGGATCAACTAACTACTGACACAGAACTTCACAAAAGATGCTTTAGCCAGCTTCAAAGATGCTCTCCTGATCAAAGCTGATTTGAATTGTCAGGCCCTGTATGTTCTGTGGTAGGTAAATGGGAGGGGGGAAAATGTACAAAACTCAAAATCCTGCTCAAAAGACAGGAAAGTTTCCAACAGATGGTCCCCCAGGGGTTGCTTTACGCTGCCTGTTTAATATGGAGGGACGTTCTTATTCCTTTTCCTTTGTCCTTCAGGTAGGAGACGTCAGTTTAGTAATTGCTCACATTCAACCGTCAACCAGAACACCCTTTACTATTCCTCCTATTAGATGATCAAAGTGCGCCACTGTAGCGTCGTGGCAAAGCTCCAAAAAAAAGGTCGGTTGTTGTCGGGGGGGGAACCGAGGATGATCCCGGCGGACGCCACGTGGTCGACATCCCACCTGGCAGATGCCATCAGAATTAGACAAGCCGCGATAAAATGGAGGCCGGTGTTGTGTAGCATGTGAGTGACCTTTAAAGATGATTAAATCTGGCAGCCTCGCAATGTGCTCTGCTTTTTTTCCCCTGTAATCTATATACCAGTATGTACTCGTTAGGCTCACCCTCACTGCGCTCGCTTGTTTTTTGCCTTACTTTCCTGAATCCTCCGCCTTCCTCCACCTGCCAAAGCAACAACACAAATCCCTCCACTAACTTCGGTCTACTCCAGTTTTCTCCGACTTGCTGGTAACTCTGCATCACATTTATAGCCCTGATGGAAATCTACGCTGGAAATCCCTGGCAGCGTTGTGGTATGCTTCCCGTCCAACGCTTTCCATTTCCCCTGCATCTGTCCCCTGAGACCGATTTCCCTGCTTCCTTCTGTGCTGTTCCCCCCCACAACGACCTCACGCTTGTCTCCTATTTCCACATCTCTCCGTGAGGCGGCGGTTATCCCCTCCCTCTGTTTTGTTCCCGGCGTGATTTGTTTAGAGCTTAGTCAAACTTAAGATCGCTTTACTCCCTCTTGACTGAACTTTAGCGTCTCCCCTGTGACGCCGGTCGCCTCGGCTCAGTCTTCCTTGCTTATCTCTCCGCTGCTTTCCTTCTGTTTTCTTGCAGGTATCAGCATTTTTCTCGTCTCGAGCGGCGCCTCAACCTTTACCGATGCCGCCGTTCCTTTAAAGCGAGTTCTTTAAGAGGAGGACGTTTTTACCTGCGTTGCCATTTTTGTCTTGAAGAGCTGAAACCGCCGTGCATTCCAACGCAAAAACATAGTCGAGCTCTGTGTTTAGTTTTTCTGATTCCAGCTCCTGATTAATTTTTATCTCTCTGAATTTATTTATGCATTTTCGGGCTCTAAGCTTTCGGCTTCTGGAGATAACGCACCTTTCGCTCGATAACATTAAGCAGCAGCAAGCCTGGTATTATTAGAGGATTTTCCGTAGAGGAATTAACACAGCTGATCAGCGAGGGAGCTGAGATCTCATTCAGTTCATTTAATTCAATCATTTAATTAGTTTTCTATGTGTAATTGCCACAACTGTCACGGGACTGTACAGGATCTGCACTCATTTGTTTTGATGTGGCATTTCATTAGGGCACCTCCATCCTTTTCAACCAGCCGGGGCTCTTAACAGCAGCACCTTTGTCACATTTTTTACTTTTTGTTTGGACTATTTCTTATCTTTTTCCTCAATTTCTCAGCTTCTTCCCCACCCAGGTGTATTTGCTTCTGTTGCAGTGATGGATTTAAATACCTCTCTCCACCCTCAGCTCTTTGCTTTTTCCTGGAGGACCATTCAAACCCAGCTCCTCTCCTCTGTCTCTCTCTCCTCGCTGTCTGTCAGTCCGTCTCCTTCCACCCATCCTTCTTTCAGCTCAATCTCTCCCAAGGTGATTTGGAGTAGGGGCCCATCTTCTATCTCCCTGCATCCCCCTCCTCCACCTCCTGAACTCTCAGAGGCCTCATTCCCACCTTAGAATCCACCCGTTCCTCGCATCCGACTCCATCCTTCACTCCAACTATTAGTTTCTCCTCCCCATCCATCTTTTTTACATTCACCCTTGGCTGCCGTGCTTTCTCTCGATCCCGCCACGTGTTTTTTTTGGTTTTTTTCTTCACATTTCCAGTCATCTTTCCATCTGTTTGTCCTCACCGTCATATGGTTAGCTCCCTTTTCCCCCCTTCTCAATATCGCACACAAGCCCGATGCCTTCTTTATCATATCTGAGGAATCCAATCCTCGCATTAGTGCCAGCTGAAGTAGAAAAAACAAACTCTCACACAATGCCAGGATGGTTGTCCCGACTCAACCTACCCTCTCTCTCATTGCGTCGTCTTCTCGGTGTTTGAGCCACTGTTTTGCTGTAGCAATAACCCCCCGCACATAAATGTTTCATCAGTCTGTGCTTGTAAATTCAGAGGCAGTAAACTCTGAATGTGTGCAGACATAATTCATGAACGGCGCAGTAGTATTCTACATGTAAGTACACCGAGTTTGCTCAAACCACAATGTGATAAACTGAAAGACTTCTGCATCCACCCACTTACTAACTCTTCAATCTTTTCCTTTTTCTCCCCTTCATGTTTCTCTTGATGTTAATTTGTAATTGTGTCATAGTTGCACAGCGTGGCGCATTGTTTTCCACGCTAAAAAGGGAGAAAGGTGTGTTCTCCAGAACCTGTGCTTGCTTTTCCGTCTGATCTTTTTTGGCTTTCCTTTCGCTGCTACAGTAGTAGAGATCCTTCTTTTTGCCAGGCCCACAGCGACGTTACGTAACTTGGCTCGCAGCGACGCGTAGAAATGGCGTGGCGAAATTTGTCAGCTTTGCAAACACTTTCTTAGGCATGCAGATTAGTTTTTCACCTCGTGTTTTTTTTTTTTCTCTTTCCCAAAGCTGTACCCCGTACTTAGAAGGCAGGGTGCGGAGGTGGGTTCTTAAATAATTTGCGGTGGCACGAAGAACGCTGCAGCCCTTAACCTCAAATCCAGTCTAAGTGTTGATCTGCCTCTCAGAGCGTGGTGAGTAAACACGGACTGTGAAGTGTGAGGGAATCTCATTTTAAATTAAAATGACATGACTTACTGAGGATTGAATGTTACTTCAGTTTAAAAACATCTCTTATCGAGGTCTGTGCTGCTATATGTCGACATGGATGTGGCTAAAAAAATCATACAGATTAGTTGTGTACATGGTTGCCACTTCCACTCAAGGCTAAAGGCCCAGTTTACACTTCTCTGCATGCTGTTTTTCATTCAGCTTTTATTCTGACGCTCTGACCAGAGGCGGCGATTCGTATCTGCGCAGCTTTGGCGCTTGCTGTGTTTCCAGCAGCTACTGACCCCAACAGAGCTGTTATCAGAGCTACAAAGTGATGCTCAGCTTCTTCACTCACAAGAAAAAGGGGACGTTAGCATGATTCTGGATGGGTCTTCGCTGCACGGATACACAGTAGCTTCTGAAATTAAAACACCCAGAAGGGAACAAGAGAGCAGCCTCCTCTTACGATGCAACATTTATAAGGCCGACACTGTGCTGCCAGACGTTGGTAAATTAGTGCAGCCTCAGCTAACCCCGCACAGAGCAACAATGATAGCACGAACGGCGGCATCAAACGCTCGACTCTGCTGCACAACGCTACTTTGACTGAACAATAACAATCACAATATGGCAGAGAAATCTTGAATTATCTCACGTAGGTAACTTAAACAACTAGCCTAAACCGTCTACGTTCACCGTCCAAACACACTCGATTCACAACTATTCTTTCAGGATCTTGACTTGTTTTCTCTTCTAAACCACCAAGATGCAAAGTGAGCATCATCCTAATTGTCATACAGCCAGCAAAAGTTTTGGTTAATTCAGGTGAAGAAGGGCAATTTGGACAGCTCTGTGATTTATTTATTTAATCACAATTTGTAGGATTTCTCCAAACATCAGATTTATCAAATTAGCATCGCCCACCATGTGAGATCATGAGATCATCCCCGGTGTAGTCGTATGTTGCATTCAGAGTCAGACACTGTTTACTAGCCTCTAGATGTTTTGGTGTTCCAGGACACACTGTGCCAAATTGTACAAAATCTCTTTCATTCCCACAGTTCATCCTCTTGTCCTCCCTGTCTGCACTCATCTATATGCACCGACGATCCACCTGTTGGGTTTTAGTGTCATACAGCGATGGAGATAAATTATTAACTACCTTCGCCCCTCTATCCCTTCATCTGTCTCCGCATTCATCTTTCCCTTGAGCTACCTGGCTGTCCATGTTCAAGATGAACAGTTTCACTACTGAGGTGTCACGCTGTAATGGATAAATATTTAAGAGGTTTTTGCATGAAAACAGGATTCACCTTTAGAGGGAGGATGTCAGTGGCGAAAATGCCAAACGTGGCTTGTAGCTGCATACAGAGGAGAAGCTGATAGCCTAACCTATTGGCAAGTATCTAAGCTCATGTTTAAGCAACATTTCCACACAGAACTTGTTTGCAGAGGGAGGGAAAGTGTTTAAAAGAGGAGTTTAACTGACCTGTAGATGAGGGTTTCGTCGGCGGTGCAGTTGTACTGTATCTGATACATCCAGACAACGTAAGCTGCAGACAAACGGCCCAAATCCCACCGAACCTGAGCCGAGGTCGAAGTCACCCCCTGTACTCCAACCATCCGTCCTTCCTCGTCGTCCCCCTCGTCGTCCTCCATGCTTCCTCCGTCAGCCCTCTCCACCTCGGCGGCCCTCCCGCTGTCGCCCTCGTCCTCTTCCACTCTCCTCCCGTCCTCCGTCTCTCCCCCACGTCCCACGCCGTTGTTAATCCCTCCGTTTTTCCCCGTGCTGATATCCGAAGAGCCCGGATCGGTCCGTAAAATCCCATTGGTCACGTTCCTGTTGTTCTTGGTGTTAACACTGTTGCTCCCCGTGTTTCCACCTACTCCGCCTCGGTGAGGCAGGGGGATGATTTTCAGGTCCACAGTGGCGGTCGCTTCGCCGGCCGCGTTTATTGCGATGCACGTGTACGCGCCATCATCCCGGGCAACCGTTACCAAAATATCCAAGGTGCCGTTGCTGAAGGAGCTGGTCCGGGACGAGTTTGCGATGATGCGATCATCAGGCGACACCCAGTGAACGACCGGCTCCGGATCACCGATGGATCTGCACTTCAGCGTGGCTCGCTGGCCCTCCAGCACCCACAGCTTGTGGGTGTGACGGGTGATGAGAGGAGGTTCACATGTAAACTCCTCCTCAGGAATCGACCAGAAATATCTGCAGAACAAAAGGAGTAAAGAAGGGTGAAGCTAAGAGCAGAGAGAGAGAGAGAGAGAGGGAGGGTTGGCGCAGAATCACCTTTTTGTTTTTTTTGGCTAAGTACAGGAATTTGTCTTGTTCTGTGCCTCGGAGGTGGGTTTAGTAGATTAATGGAGTATATTAACCTAAAGATCTGTGCACTCTTGTCTGTCAATTTAAAGGTAAAGATCAGTTGGAACAGTTTCCCCCTGCTATTCTTTAGAAAACAAGACTAAACAAAGAGTAATTAATGATGACAGCAGTGGCAGATGACAACGGCAGATGCTCATTTTCCTCCTCAATCCTTCGTTTCCGTTATTTTGACTAGACTAGAAACTCCCGGGAGAGAGATAGTTGGGAGGAAAAGGGGTGAATTATCCCATCAGCGTTTCAACACTCAGTCTTAATGACCTTTGTGTCCTGTGACTTTTAACTCCACTTCACAAAATGTGAGGCCCTTAATTGGATATGCACTAAAACAGGTGTGGGGTAACAACTTGTCGGACAAATTGGCCTTAAAACGGTTTCGGGGAAACACTGATGGCGAGACGTTTAATTAGACTCAACACATTTAGAACACTGATGACACTTACCTTCCGGCCAGGTGAGCAGGAGTGGCGCACGTCTCCATGTCGTCCGAGCGGATGAGTCGCCTCAGCCAAAGCAGCTCGCAGTTGCAGTGCAGCGGGTTCCCCCCGAAGTTCAGGCTGATGACGGCGTTGTAGGGCGTGGGGCTAATCGCACCTGTCTGAGACCTGGGAGTTACAGCGGAGAAGGGAATCAGCGCACACATTTGTATGCCTGAGTGGATTTAAAGGTTATTAAATGCAACATTACTGATCATTTTAACTTGTATATGGAAATGAGTTCACTCTGAGCAAACTTTACAGGCCTCATTATGTACAGTTAGAAATCTAAGCATGTTAATGAGCAGTTTCAGCACCACAGTCCACATTGCAAAAACTATCTTGTTAACATTTTTATCAACTTCTTTTTTTTTTTTTCTTTCCCCCCACTCCAATTCAAGGTTGAGCTAATTCCCTTCCATTTTGCAGAACCGCAGCAACTCCGAGGAAGGAGTTTAATAAAAAGTGAGCGGCTCTTTCCATGAAATAAGACGTTGGTATCTGCAAGATTATAAGAACTTGAGAGTGATTTTGAAAACGATTAACAAGAGCAGCCAGCTCAGGTGCAATGATGTGGTGGTGCTCTGAGCTTTTTGAAGTGAGTTGGAAGAGTAGGGAATATCAAGGAGGAACACAAGGCTTCATTAAACCTACTTCCTAATAAGATACTTCAAAAGATATTGCAGCTGTGATGCCACATACTGTACAAAGAAATGCAGCAGTGGTCTAAAGCTTGAGGCCGTTGTGTTTGAATTTAGATACGAATTTTCATGACAAGAACGTCAGCTTACCAATTTGAGTGAATCGTTGCAGCAACGCACATGAATTTCATCGAATCTTTTTTTTTTTAATCACTCCTTTTTTGGTTTGAAGACAGCAAGACGTCTGTACAGAACCTGCAAACCGATGTTATCTCAGCACGATCCGACGGCGTTCCAACGAGCCCCTGTGACGGCAGGACTTCTCTCGTTCCTCACGTATAACCTAAACTTCATTTATTTATCTATTTATTTTAAGTAGCAATTTTGCAGCTCCAGCAGGAGGCTGCGGGAAAGCGTCGAATTATGCCGAGAAAAGGGAACAGGTGGCACGGCGCCGAATAACAATGCAGGAAAACGAAGCCGCAAAAGACGGAGGCAGTCGAAGGCTCCTGTATGGAGCACAGCTTGCGTGGCTACATACAGAGATGAAAGCACAGGTGGGTAAATTTAAATGGCAGTGTCTTGTAAAGCTTGCTGCGGCGCATTCAACGTGAACTATAATGGGTAAAAAACAAGACTGAAGAGAATGGAAGAAAAAACATCTAAAGAACGGCAGGCTGGAGAGGCTGTTTATGGAAGCAATCAGGTTCGACTTTAGAGCTTTGAGCGAGAAATAAACTAAAAAAGTTGAAAGTATAATCAAAGTGATAATTTGACTGGAAGCATTAATTTGTTTTTTGACAGCTAATTCCAGCTCAGTTTGTGGTTTATGACGCCACATCATCAGTGGTCGCCTGCGACGCGTTTAGTTGACAATTTGTGAGTCAGAAATCCTGCAACGCTTCAGCACTTTGCTTAAAATCTGAGCTGCACAGAGATGTAGTTTGAGCTGAGTTGGTACCTCTGCAATGACTGATGTCTTTGCTTTCCTTTAAGTTGTCATTTTCATTTCCAATTTTGAAAATGCGTGACTTGCTAATCAGAGGAGCATTAGTTTTGGCACCTCATGTTGATTTTGATTCAGTCTTCTGACAAATTTTGTACAACTCAAGTCAAAGTTTAGTGTTTTAATCCATCAAAAAACTCTAAATACATGAGTCTAGTTTTCTTTGACACTCTGAGTTTGCATCCGTCGCCATTTTTGGGTTCAGTCATCATGATTACAGGTGTTTCAGGTGAAGAATCTCAGAGTCCACGTCTCTTGGCTCTGCAGTGTCACAACAGACAAACTCTTCCTCAGCGAATCCAGCTAATGTTACTTGTTCACTACGATCCCATTTGCTGTCTGGGTTCAGCTTGACAAGAGGCGCTAAATGGTCGGAAAACATTAATGCATTTATCCGTCAGTTTGTTCTCTGGTGGAAGCTTCAGACGGAGCGCCGTCATTAATCGTGCGACTGACTCACTCCGTCTGACAGCGACATGAAAGCCTGAAAGTAACGCTGATGTTACATCAACTGAGCTGCATTAGCGCCGTTAGATTAGCTTACTATTCGAAAAAACTTTTATGCTTGTAGTTTGCGGTTGTGTTTCCTTTTGTTATCAGTCAATGTTACTAACTGGTGCACAACATTGCTGAATTTCGGGCAGCAGAGGAAACTTTTACTGATCATTAGCTGCCGTTTTTGACTCCACACATGCTGCAGATCATTAAATAAGTAAATCGGTTAATTTCTCCGACTTGGCTATTATTGTGTCGTTTTTTTACTCATTGACGCAAAAACCAACAACATTTGTTTTGTTTTCCTCATGAAAAAAAAAAAAAGATGCCATCAGTGAACATTTTGCATCATAGTTTTGTGTGTGAAACGAGCCGCTGCCTCAAAACATGGAGATCAGATGACTTGGGTTCTTCCATTGCACCAGCTGCTTCCCATGTTCCAGCCAGTGGACTGGTAAGAGTGGAGCAGTTCACAGCGTAGCACGCATGCTGCACATATGGTTAATTAAAAAGAAAAGTAAACAGTGAATGGAGTGGCTAAACATTTTCAAACATGCGTTCCTGTGCCAGAGCGCCCCCTTCTTAAAAACCACACCGGTGGCTCTGTGGCTGGTGTTGTCTGCCGCAGATTATTTCCACTAAGCCACTTCTTAGAGAAACATAAAAGACGAAAGCTTAAGTGCTACCTTGCAAAGAGCGGATCAGGAGGCAGCGTTCGGAGCCTGTTGGAGGTCATATCCAGCCTCGCCAGCTTATACAGCTCTCCAAAAACTCCTTCGGCTATGTGGTCGATCAGGTTGTGGTCCAGGTTCAGAGTGTGCAGGCTGGCCATGTTCTGAATCGACTCCCACGGCACCCTGCAGCACGGAAACACCAGAGAGTGGTTAGCGTGAGATTAATAGAATTAGCAAACTATGGAGGAATGAGGGGAATTGTCAGTTAGAAGTAAATGCGAGGACAGATTCCAGCCCTCTGATGGTTCGCGTCCCTTGTGGCGCACTGACACAGGATAAGACGTTAACCTGATTAAAGCATGAGAGCACCACTATTAGATCAGTCATAGTTCATTCCTTATGTTCCCGGTACTTTATGTCCCTCTTAGGAGAACGTGAATAAGCAAAGACTAATTAATGGTGACAGCAATGACAGACAACAACAACAGATGCTCATTTTCCTTCTCAATCCTTTGCTTTTTCTGGGTTTCGCGAGTCCCATCTGTGACCCGTTGCTGTAGTCATTTAGTATTCCTTTAGTGCAGTCATTCGCTGGTTTAGACCAATTAGTGAGCGAAAACTAAAAAAGCTGGCAAAATCGGGGAAAAAAAAAATGTCAAGCATTATATTTTTGTGTTGGTTTCACCTTTTGTTTGGTGTCTCTTCTCTCTAACGCGGCGTTTGTTTGACAGGAGTTAAATTTGCTTTGCATCTCTGGAAAACTCTCTCAGTGTTGAGCACAAAAAAGAACGAGGCACCACTTGTTATCAAACAATAGCATGTAAATTTCAAAGCGACGAATGCATTGTTCTGCATAATGAGCCAAATGAAATTACTTATTTCAAAGCAAATACGTTGAAGTAAAAGAAACGGTTGCGGCGGATGATCGCTGTATTTTACTGCGCAGTAAAATTTAGTCTTTATACAGAAGAAGTGCGAGGCATGATTAATTACGGTGTGTTTTTGGTTTGGATTGGAACGAAATAAACGAATGAAGCATAATTTTGTCGTATATACTGTAAAAAAATGAACCTAAATGGCAAATATTAACTAGTAGAATCACAGAAAAAGTATTAATTTACATGTTAACCATTAAAAACCAGGCCCAAACTGCAAAAATACAAATAATTTGTTGTTTTACAATGTTCGACCACACAATTAGACTCTTTTTGTGTGTTACCGTCGTTGTTTTACTGTTATTGGAACGAAAAGGGTTTGTAACTATGATGTAGATTTTAGCTGATTTGTTAAACTACAGATAATAACAAATAAAATCACAAAAAAAGTATTAATTTACATGTTGACTGTGGGAAACAAAAAAATAGAGCAAAACTGTACATAATGCCCACATAAAAACAATCTGTAATTTTAAGTAATTTGTTCTTTTAGAGTGTTTGACTGCAAAAATTAAACAGTTTATCTGTATTTAAATTGGCTAAAATACTGTTTTTTTAAACAGATATTTGCTTGCTGACCGATTCCCTCACTTTTTGTGGTTTGTTTGTTTACTACAGTGTAGGGATATTTGGTTAAAATGTGCTAAAGTGCTTTTCACAATCATCTTTATTTCGTTACCGTTAGCCCAGCTTAAGACCTTAATACATAGCAGGAGTCAGATTTATGCAGTTCAGAGGGGTTTTCCAACAGATAAAAACATGTTTTTTAACAAGTAAAGCTGCATCTGGCCCTTCCCCTCCTCGCTGCTTCGCTCAGTGCCTCAAAAAAAAAGTTAATGCATGAAGTCAGTTCAGGTTCCAGAGTTGCTTTTAACACTGAATAACAATCGCGCCTCTCCACCAAGAGCTCTCACATGACACAACCTGAAGCCAGTGTTGAGCACTTTTAAAGCTTGATAAGAAGTTATGATGCAGAAACTCGGCCAGCAGAGACTCCTCAGTAACCTGAAGGAAAAGGGCAAACAGCAGTGGCTAATGTATGCATCGTTAAAACTCTGCACTTTTCTTCTGGTTTGGTGGAGGCTGGAGAAAGGCCAGAGAGCTCCTGTAGAGGAGACAAATGAAACATCTTAATCAGAACCGACAGCCAAATGCTGCTGAATTCATCAGCGTAGTGGGACGCTATAAAGGGGAGAATAGGCGACTGATAGGGACTATCATCGTGGTCTGACTTATTATTTAGTCCAGAGGAACAGATAGCGATGCTGCAAGAAGCTCCATTGTCCTAGATGAGCAGAATAAGACACGGCGCACTCAGGTATGAACCATAGAGAATAGTTATAGCAGCGTACGCTCGTTCACAGTGGCGGGAGCTCAGGCGTGCCCTTTTTAAATTGTAACCAAATCGAAGTCAACGAAAATTAGAACCTCATCAAAATTGATTCATTTTCCCTGAGCTTTTAGTCCTCTCTCACTAGCCTCAGCACTTTGAGCCGGTAGCACTCCATTGTCTTTGCTGACTCTTATGTGATCCGACAAGCTGTTTCCACTGTGCCTTGAAATTTTGGGAGCTGAGTTGTGTCTGCAGCTTTTACACTCGAGACCGAAACCCGAGCGCTGGAGGATTGCGCGGTGTGTTTCTACTTAGCCGAGCAGATCGTGTGCATGCTCAGTGGGCGATTAGAGCAGAACAAAGGCTTTACCTCCTGAGGTTGTTGTAGGACATGTCGAGGTCTTCCAGCGTGAGTAAGAAGTCGTCGAAAGCCTGAGCCGACACTTTGACCAGCTGGTTGTTGTTGACAATCAGGTGTTGCAGATTGACCAAACCTGCGAGGTCCCTGGGTCCAAGGGTTGTCAAGCGATTACCTGGAAGGAATAATAAATAAATACCACTTTAAGTTCAGCTGATTCCAGGTAGTTTAAGTCTGTTAATGCAACGACTGCTCACCGTCCAGGTGCAAAGAGCGCAAACTCTCCAGGTCAGCGAAGGCCATCGGTCGGATAAGGTGGATGGTGTTCCTGGACAGAGTCAAGTCAACCAATCCGGTCATGTTGACAAAGTCAATTCCGCCCACTTCCGTTATGAAGTTGTCGGCCAGCCGCAGCTCCACCGTTCGCCGGTCAACGTGCGGCGGGACGAACAGGAGGCCCTTGTCGGCGCAGAGCGTGCTGAGCGACTCGGAGAGGTTTCGGCACACGCAGTGGAAAGGACAGGCCGAGACCACGCCCCACGTCTCCCCCGCTCCAATCAGCGACGGCAGCAGGCAGCATGTGACCAGCGTCAGCCAGTGAAACACCGGGAACGGGACGGAGTCGGGAAGCGTCCTCTTGGTCGCCCGCGGGCAGGCGCAGTGGACGAGGTGGGATGAGGAGGGCAAAGACGAGACCAGAAGAGGGGGGAGGAGAGACAGAGAGAGGATGGATGGAGGGAGGATGGGGGGGGAGGTGGAGCCTGCTGCTCGCCGCTCGGGGTGGAGGTGTGTGTGGGGCGGGTGTTTCTGTCTGCGGGGATGGAGGGGTGGGGGGACAGGCATGGTAGAACGCCTGGCTATCCACAGACCTGGAGGGAGAAGGGAGGAGAAACGTTAGCTGGTCAGACGTTGTTCTAGAGAAGATCTTTGAAGTGTGTTTTTGTGTCTGGCTTCCTGTCTTCCACCTACTCTAACCAGACAGGAGGCTCGCTCGGCACACATGCACACTCGTGTGGGCCAAGGCCTCTTAAACAAGCACCACTCCGCACGAAAGCCCATCCTGAGAAATGGTTGACGCCCCTGCAGTACGCACTTCACCTCTTACATATACTCTCAGAAGCGCTCGCCACTACAGCTCATCGCCTAGCAACAACATCCCAAAAGACTGAACACAGCCGGTCCCCATAGTAACAGTTACCTAGAAACCTGTACGAGCAGATTTGACGAGTGTTACATCACGGGACGCTTTCTTAAGACTCAGGGTCAGCGAATCAAATCGGGTCACCAGCTCGATTTCGGCGGCCGGTCCGGCACGGCGTAGGTCTCGGTGGGCAACGTACGAGGAAATCTGCCAGTAAACACACGCGTTGTGGTGATGAGAAGGTATAGACATGAGTCACCGCTACTGATTGGCATGCATAATAGTTGTTATAGCAACTGTAGCCTAGATACAGAGAGAGTGACAGGGGTTGTTGATAACAGTCACAGAGAGAAGAGAGGAGAGAAAAAAGATGGTGAGTCAGAGACAGAAAGGAACATCGCCGGAGAAAGACGGGGATATTTTTACTCGGAGCAATCTATAGAACCTGGAGCGCGGCGATTATGTAGCGATACGTAATATATGCAACCCAATACTTTGAGTAACAGGCGGGCACGACCATATATCACGCCGACTTCACAGGTTGACACAAATTGCTGCTTGATATTTTCCATTAGATCCCAGCTTTGCTCTGTCTGCGTGAGGAGGGGTTTACCATCCAGCTCAGATGTTCAATACGAAAAAAAAAAACACAGTCCTGGTTCGCTTTGGTCTACTTCCAACATATTTTAAAGCCTTCACTCCACGTTAAAGTGATAAGAAACCAAGTGCCTGAAATGATTATACTTTTTTATCTCCTAAATGTTCTCATTTAAAGCAAAGGATTGAAATAAGCAGTATTCCTCTTAGATGATGGAAACAGATTACATATGGATTACTTTAGGGCGCCGATGAATGGTGTCATTATTCCCTTAATGTCGCGCATTTCCTTTTGAAACAAGATGTTTGGGGCCGACCATTAAACCGATGGCGTATTAGTTATTGAGAGGAATGCAGTTTGGCTTGATAGGATGGGCCGAAGGACAAGTTTGTGCCCATTTAAAGGAGCGTTAGCAGGCTGGCGATGACTGAGGCGTTCACAAACTCTGCTTTTTGTTATAAATTTTTTTGCCTTTTTGCTGCTTAATTTTAAACAGCCGAGCGCCTCTGGGTCGTTCTAGAAAGCCGTAATGACTGCCAGGTATCTTTTTCCAAAACCTAAAAATATAACTCCGGCTTAGCAATGGTACCACAGATAGTTATTTCCTTATGTCTGGTGTCATCAGTTTCAAAAAAAAAAAAAAAGAAAGAAGCAGCAGCAGCGCTTGCAGCAGGGGAGGCTGGGGGAGTGTGTGGGGGACAAAGTCACGAATGCCTGCAGTGACAGCCAGTCCCCAGGGCAGTCGATGTTGGAAGTCGACTGCTCCTGAGCTCCCGCGGAGGCATGCATACTAAAATGTTAAAATACTCCGGCAAAGTGAAATGTTGCTGAAAAATATGTCTAGTCGGCAGCTCGATCATCTCATCCCGCCCTGTGCTAATGCTCGCTGGTCAGACAGCTTCCCCTACCCCTCCACCTTTGCCCTTCTCCTTTTTTTTTCTTTACTCTTCTGCTTTCATGTAATCCCTCCCCTGCTCTTTGCTTCACATCTTCCCCCCCTGTATCCTGCCTACCTACACCTTCAGCTCTCCACTTCCTCCTCGCCTCTACCTGCACCGCTCCCCTCTGTGTTTTTTATCTCCCTCTCCATCCTTGCTCACCTTCCATCTTATAACCCTTTATGCCTCTGGCTGCTCTGTAAATTTCCACATTTTCTCCCTTTATGTCTCATTCCCTCTCTTTCTTTCCCTCCGTCTTGTCTGCCCTTGAGGCAACCCGAGTACGACAATGTTATCAGTCACAGCTCTTCCTCGCCACCTTCTCCGCCGCCACCACCACCACCACCTCTGCCTCCGTCTTTTTTGTCTCGCCTCCCCATCGCTTGCTGACTCCGCTGCCCTCCGCGTCCCCTTGAATCTTCTGTTCCCACTTTTAGTCACAATCCATGCACGCCAATGCACACACATGATTTTGCTGTGCTCTGAAACTCGCCGCCTGCTTCATTTATCTAACTTTCTCCCCCATCCTTCCTCCACCATCTGCTTTATCTCTCGATTTCTCCCCGCCGTCATTTTTCTCCCTTTACCTCTTTCTCACTCTTTTTTTTTTTTTTTCTTCTCACTTCTGCAGCTCTCTGCTCTCCCTCTATTAGGGAGGAGATCTCATTTGCAGCGAGGGCAGTGCAGTATCGAAGCTTTCTGACACACACACAGGTTGGATGTAACCGATCCGTTCACTTAGTGATCGATCTGACCCGGGGAGATGGATAGCGCCCTGTCCCATTCATTTACACTCATCCCTTTGCTCTGTCGTTCTCTCTCAATCTTCCACGCTCTCCTTCCATCTTGTGTCTTGTCTTTTCTGTTTAAGGGCGGTAATCGTACGAGTAATTGATTATTGCAGGTGTGTAAACTATTTGTTAGTGGGGTCACTTTGCATAGCGAGGCCAGTTTTGACACAGCATCTGCTGGCTCGCTGTTCAGCTGCTACATGTGGTAGATCTGATGAGTGAATGTTTCAAAAAATGCCTAAGATGGCATCTGTGAACTTTAGTTTTTTGGATAATTTCTCTTTTCTGTGTACCTTCCGGAGTGGTTTGGTTGATTGCAGGCATGTAACAGAATGAGGTTCACTTTATCCCGCATGCCGGATTTAGAAATTAGACAGAAATAAACTATTTGCTCAAACCAGATTATGTCAAAAATCAAAAAATTCTGCACTTTGTGGCATAACTGTGAAGCCATTAGTTACTCTGCTGTGACCAGCAGTCACATGGCAAAAATTCAAGGACTTTTCAGGCAGTGTTTACACGGAGCAGAGAGGAAATTAAAAATGTTAGCAGTAAAATATTTGTAGTAAGTAGAGTCACCATTTATTCCCAGTATTTCTAACACATTGGACTTGACAAAAAAAAAATTGTACATGTCAATTCCAATTCTAATTTTTCCGTTATACCCGTCGTACACCACAGTCCTCTGTACTTCTGTCTATTCCTGTGCTGTTTCTGACCTTGTATTGAAGTGAAAAGGAAAAAATGTGGACATGAGCTCAATATACTACATTGTTGTGTGGTTGTGTTGATTATTACTATAAATATTTCAGTTTCCAAAATGGAATGGGATACTAAAAAGCCCTCATCACGAGTTGGCAGAGCCCAGGCAGACATCTTGCGCGATCACCAGTCCAAAACACAAATACTGCGATGATATACGACAATGAGAAGCAAACAAATCCTCTTATTCGAGAAGCTGCAACCGCCATATAATCACTCAGTTAATTGACTTTTCCTTCAGGGTCCTTCAGGTTCAGACGCACTTCTCAGAATACCTAAAGACTGCCTATGAAACGTTGCTGCTTCAGTAAATCTTAAACTTTCTGTGTTCAGGCACATATGAAGCTGCACTACTGGCTTTGCCTACAATAGTATTTATTAGTCCTGGTCCACGTTGCTGTTTACTCTTTCTTATGCTTCTGCACCACTAGAATATCCCCCCTCAGGATCAATAAATTCTTATCTTACACGTTGCACCGATGCAGCACAAAGGTGAATTACGTGTGTTTGTTGCACAGAGCTATAATCAGTGAGTTGCAGCATCCACACCCAACGTATGTGTCTGTGGGCGTCGACTCCCACCACGCCGCTCTAACGAGTGTGCGTTCCTGTTTGTGAATTAATGTGACACTTTCCTGCACTTAGGAAGCCTTCACCCGCTCTTAAGAGTTTGCTGCTGAATTTGCAATAAGAACACACAGCTGTGAGTCCACACACACACACAATCTCTCCGAGCAGCAGGCATCACGGTGCTGCAAAAAGGCCAAAAGCCCTCTTGGTATCAAGCTTGCTTGACACTTTCTGTGGGGGGAAAAAAGAGTAAAGGGAGGCAGTCGATAAAAGATTGATGATCGAGAGACAAATCGCAGCGGAGAGGAAAACAAAGAATCAACAAACAAGATCAGACAAAAGCGGGAGATTAAAAAACAAAGAACGCTGTCACGTGAGTGTGCATGTGTGTTCTGCTAGGTGTTTGTGATCTGAGCTCCGAGGCATGTGTACCGTATCAGCGTCCACAGCAGCTCTGCTTCCTTTCTTTTTTTTTTGTTTACCTTTCTTTTGTGTTCTTTTTTTTTTTTCTTTCACTCCTTCTATTTTGGGAAATCTCTCGCTACGCTACCCTACGTGAACCCTTCACCCTCCAGAGAGCAACAAACCGACTGGTGGAGAGAGCGGAGAGGCGAGCGGAGAACATGAGCTAAAAGCGTCTGTGGAAGGAACTACTCAGTACAACCGGTGTTGGAGCACGGCTCAGTGCTGCGAGGCTGAACCTAACCTCACCCTAACTTCCAGAAGTTTTTGTTCTAACACCCACCACAGCCCCAGGAGGGCGCAGGCTTCTTTTAGGGAGGCCAACCCCGGCTAAATATGTGGCAACTAATAGATTCCTAGCGATGAATTTCTATTAACTGGGTTTCTCGGTGATACGTGTGAACCCGACGCCAACCAATTAAGAGAAGCTTCAGGCCTGATTTAAAAGCGCTAATGTGTCTGTGTGGAAGTTGTCTCACATGGAAGACCTATTGCACTGTTTTAGTCTTAGTATTTAATTCTCAGCGGGTCAGTGTAAATGTCAGGGCCTCGTAAATGCCAAGCACAATTATTAATGTTAA